AAAAGAAAAACTAATCAAAGAAGAAAATCAAGCCAAGTTAAATAACAAAAAATAAACAAATATGGCTGGGAATACAAACCATGTCTCAAAAACAACCCTGAATGTTAATGACTTAAACTCATCAATAAAAAGATACAGCCTAGCAGATTGGATTTTTAAAAAATGCTGCCTCCAGGAGACTCATCTAATAGGAAAAGACATATACAGACTGAAGGTGAAATGTTGGAAAAAATCATACCACTCACACGGACTGCGGGAGCAAGCAGGGGTTACTCATATTAAATGAAGTAGACTTCAAGCCAAAGTTAATTAAAAGGGATAAAGATGAACACTACATACTGCTCAAGGGAACCATACACCAACAAGACATAACAATCATAAATAAATATGCCCCAAACAATGGTGCAGCTATGTTCATCAAACAAACTCTTCTCAAGTTCAAGAACTTGAGATTATTGACCAGAACACAATAATTTGGGGTGACTTTTACATTCTTCTCTCACCACTGGATAGATCTTCCAAACAAAAGTTGAATAAGGAAACTATAGAGCTCAATAACACAATCAATAACTTAGACTGCATCTTCTCAGCAGTACATGGATCCTTCTCAAAATAGACCATATACTATGCCACAGGGCAACTCTTAGCAAATATAAAAAAGTAGAGACACTACCATGCATTTTATCAGATCATAATGGAATGAAATTGAAAATCAATGACAAAATAAAAAATAAAAATTACTCCAACACCTGGAAACTAAACAATATGCTACTGAAAGAACAATGGGTTGCACAAGACATCAAGGAGGAGAATAAAAAATTCTAAGAGGAAATAAGAACATACACACAACATATCAAAATCTCTGGGACACCATGAAAGCAGTACTAAGAGGAAAGTTCATTGCATGGAGTTTATTCCTTAAAAGAAGAAAAAGTCAACAAATAAATGACCTCACATTACATCTCAACGCCCTATTAAAAAGAAGGACAAATCAACAGCAAAAGCAGTAAAAGGCAAGAAATTATTAAAATTAGAGATGAAATCGAAACAAAAGAAACAATTGAAAAAAATTGTCAAAATAAAAAGTTGGTTTTTTAAAAAAATAAATAAAATTGACAGACCCTTAGCTGAGCTATGCTAATGAACAAAAGGAGAGAGAAAACTCAAATTACCAGCATATGTGATGAAAAAGGATATATCACAACAGACACTACAGAAATACAGAAGATATTTTGAAGTCTTATACTCCAATAAAATAGAAGACATTGAAGGCATCAACAAATTTCTTAAGTCATATGATTGAATAAAAAAGATATACACAATTTAAACAGACCAATATCAAATGATGAAATAGAAGACGCCATCAGAAGTCTACCAACCAAGAAAAGCTCAGGAATGGATGGATACACAACCAAGTTCTACAAGACCTTTAAAGAAGAACTAATCATGGCAGTTGCAGGTAAATGGACAAATACTCTTCAATTTATTTCAGGAAATAGAAAAAGAGGCAGCACTTCCAAACTCATTCTATGAGGCCAATATCACCCTTATCCCCAAACCAGGCAAAGATACATCAAAGAAAGAAAACTTTAGACCAATATCTCTAATTAACATAGATGCAAAAATTCTCAATAAAATTCTGGCAAATCAAATACAAAAACATATCAAAAATATAGTGCACCATGATCAAGTGGGATTCATACCAGGGATGCAAGGTTAGTTCAACATAAGGAAATCAATAAATGTAATTCATCACATCAATAGACTCAAACAAGGATCATATGATCATCTCAATAGATGCAGAAAAGGTATTTGACAAAGTAAAGCACCCCTTCATGTTCAAAACACTAGAAAAACTACGGACAATAGGAATATATCTCAACATCATAAAGGATATCTATGCTAACATCATTATAAATGGAGAAAAATCAAAGACATTCCCTCTAAAAACTGGAACAAGCTAGGGATGCCTTCTTTCACCACTTATATTTAACATAGTTCTTGAAACACTGTCCAGAACAATTAGAGAGATGAAAAAATTAAAGGAATAATTATATGAAAAGAGAAACTTAAATTAGTATTATTTGCTGATGATTTGATTCTATACCTAGTACTAAATGAACTTAGTAAAGTATCAGGATATAAAATCAACACCCATAAATCAAAGGCATTACTGAATATCAGTGACAAATCCTCTGAGAGAGAAATGAGGAAAACTACCCCATTTACAATAGCCTCTTAAAAAACATACTTTGAATCAACTTAATGAAAGAGGTAAAAGATCTATACAAAGAAAACTACAGAACCCTAAAAAAAGAAATCAAAGAAAACCTTAGAAGAAGATAGAAAGATCTACCTTGCTCTTGGATAGGCAGAATTAATATTATCAAAATGACTATACTACCAAAAGCACTATACAGATTTAGTGCAATTCTGATCAAAATCCCAATGGAATTCCTCATAGAAATAGAAAAAGCAATCATGAAATCCATCTCGAAAAATAAAAGACCCAGAATAGCTAAAGCAATGCTTAGCAGGAAGAGTGAGGCAGGTAGCATCACTCTACCAGACCTTAAACTACACTACAGAGCAATAGTAACAAAAATAGCATGGTATTGGCACCAAAACAGACTGGTAGACCAATGGTACAGAATAAAGGACACAGAGACTAACCCACAAAATTACAATTATCTTATATTAGACAAAGGTGCCAAAAACATGCATTGGAGAAAAGATAGCCTTTTCAACAAATGGTGCAGGGAAAACTGGAAATCCATATGCAACAAAATGAAATTAAACCCCTATCTCTCACCATGCCAAAAATTCAACTCAAAGTGGATCAAGAACCTAGGAATTAAACCAGAGACTCTGCATCTAATAGAAGAAAAAGTAGACCCTAATCTTCATCATGTGGGATTAGGCCCCAACTTCCTTAATAAGACTCGTATAGCACAAGAATTAAAACCAACAATCAATAAATGAGATGGACTCAAATTAAAAATTTTCTTCTCAGCAAAAGAAACAATCTGTGACGTGAATAGAGAGCCTACATCTTGGGAGCAAATTTTTAAGATATCATCTCACTCCAGTCAGAATGTCAGCTATTATGAAGACAAACAACCGTAAGTATTGGCGAGGATGTGGGGAATAAAGGCACACTCATACATTGCTGATGGGACTGCAAATTGGAAAGCAGTATGGAGATTCCTTGGAAATCTGGGAATGGAACCACCATGTGACCCAGCTAATCCCTCTCCTCAGTCTATACCCAAAGGACTTAAAACAGCATACTACAGGGACACAGCCTCATCAATGTTTATAGCAGCACAATTCACAATAGCTCAACTTTGGAACCTATCTAGAAGCCCTTCAGTAGATGAATGGATAAAAAAAAAATGTGGCATACATACACAATGGAATATTATTTGGCAATTAAAGAGAATAAAATCATGGCATTTGCAGGTAAATGGACATAGTTGGAGAAGATAATCCTAAGTAAAGTTAGCCAATCCCAAAAAAGCAAATGCCAAATGTTTTCTCTGATATAAGGTGACTAACTCATAGTAGGGTAGGGAGGAGGAGCATGGGAGGAATAGATGAACTCTAGATAGGGCAGAGGGGTGGGAGGTGAAAAGAGGGGGCATGGTGTTAGCAACGATGATAGAATGTGATGGACATCATTATCTAAAGTACACATATGAAGACATGAATTGGTGTCAACATACGTTATATACAACCAGAGATATGAAAAATTGTTCTTTATATGTGTAATAAGAATTGTAGTGAATTCCGTGGTCATGTATTTAAAACATCAATTTTTGAAAAGGTGATATAGATTTATACCTCCTCAGGTACTGCACAGAGCTGCCCTTTCCCCATCTACACCATCAGTAATTACTTAGAACAAATGCACTTGATGAGGGAGTGGGGTATCTGGCAATTGCTTTTCTTTGCATTTCACTGTCACCAGCACAGTCCCTTATAGATCTTCACTGTTCATTTCTCATTTCCATCATTTTCTTTTTATACAACACTTCACATTTTTCTTGTGCCATTTATGTGTTTTTGAGGTCCTTATTCACTGGGGATATTATTATAAATGCAATAACTTGGAACATATTTTCTCAATTTCTTTGCATTTTAATTAATGAATGTAAATTTTATACTTCTATACAGTTGAATATATTGTTGGGTGCTTTTTTCATTTGTACTGCTATTTTCTTTCCCAAAGAAAAGATATTCAACTTGCTCTTGAGCTTACTTCTATGCACATTTTTTACATGTATATCTTTTAATATTCTGGAATGCACACCAGGTTTTCCAACATAAAAATGTTTCCTTACTTCAATAAGTTCACCCTAAGCTCAGGAATTTATAAATTTGGGCTTTAAATAAGTGGAAAATACATATGACTCTTAACAAATTATGCTGAACATCCTATGCTGTGTTGGTTATAAAAATAGATTCCATATATATGTACATTAGGGAAATTTTTTTTAAGAGAGAGTGAGAGAGGAGAGAGAGAGAGAATTTTTAATATTTATTTTTTAGTTCTCGGCGGACACAACATCTTTGTTGGTATGTGGTGCCAGGCGAGCGCGCTACCGCTTGAGCCACATCCCCAGCCCAGGGAAATATTTTTATCAAGAAAATATGAACTCGGAAACTCTAGCACTCTGAATAAATGCAAAGTGAATTAACTATCCCTGGACAGTCTCAAGTAATATGAAATAAATAATTAAGAAATATATACTATGGCCTATATTTTAGATAACAAACCATGGCATACAATAGTAAAACTTTGTGCCATTCATACAGTTTTTCTTTGATTATTCTTTTTATGTGGTGAGAAGTACAGGGATTGAACCCAGGGGCACTCAACTACTAAGCCACATCTCCAGCCCTATTTTGTATTTTATTTACTCTCAATCCTCCTGCCTTAGCCTCCCTAATCACTGTGATTATGGGTGATTACAGGGGTGCGCTCCCGCAACTGGCCTCTTTGATCATTCTTGTCAGAACTTAAATATACCCCGAAGCAAGATTTTTATTTATTTGGATAAGTTTAAATAAATAATGGTACAAAATACAGATTTGCAAACATTCATGATTACTAACATAAACACTACTTTATATTACATGTAGGCATATACAATAATAAAAAAGATAATAATAATGGGGATAAGGAGAAAATACAAAACCAAGTCATTGAGAATTCAGGTCCTTTTTCCTACACAAATAAAACAGAAGTGCTTTAACTACTGGATGTAATTATCTGTAGACACCCCATTATAAACCAAAACAAGCACACCTTTGCCATCACCGGGTGTGGTACTCCCTAAAGCACTTGGCGTGGACGCCTTTCTGGCACTTCTCACACCGGGTGTTGGTCTGTGAGTGGCAGAGGGCACATCGGGTCCTCTTGTCCTGGTGGATAATCCAGTGCCCAATCATATCAAAGCGGCTCTCAGTTTCCAGCCGCCTGCTTCTCCTCCCTTGTGAGGACATGTCAGCATTGCTCTCTAAGTACACACAGGCAACATATCTTCGGAAGGCAAGGAGGTCCACCTGTGCATCCTGGCAGCAGATCCTGTGCAGCTGCCATGCATTGTTGAGGGCAGCATCAATAACATAGCCAATGAAGCTCGAGTACCACTTCATGCCCCGGATCTTTACCTTGTACTTGGCAATATTCTGGTCCATCCTGCCAACACCCCCCACCTTCTCCTGATACAGCTTCACCAGTGATGGCTGGTGGACCTGAGTTCGTGTTTTGGCTGCTCCCGAGTGACGGCTAGTCAGCCTCACAGGCTCTATGCCCACAGCATTGGAGCAGATGTTGATCATGCTGCTGTCGTGCCAGCGGCACACAATGATCTCCTCGCTCTCGTCAACTTTGTAATCAAATGAGCCTCTCTTCATTTTTCTCAACTCTTTGGGATCTTTGAGGGGACATCGCTCAATCCTGTACTCACGAACAGTTCCTGTGGCCTTCACCCCCTTTTTCCTCAAAATGGACATCAATTTGACACTTGTAAAAACCTTGTCAAAAAATATGTGGTATGGCAGAAAGCCACGCTCCTGAAGCGCATCCACAAATTTTATGACCATACTGCCTCCGAGATCCAAGCCCTTGTCTGGCTTGGTGAATAATGTGCCTTGTGAAGGTTCAAACCACACCAAGTATCCTCTGCTAGTTGTCCCGCACCAGATTTTGTAGCCAAGTCTCACAGGTTTCCCTGAGTGCAGCTGCTTGGATCCCCGGTGCCCGAAGTATTCACACATGGACTCACCGAAGCTATAGAACTCTTCCAAGGGAGCATGCTTCTGGAAATTGCAGTTCATCCTGACGATAAGGGGCCTGACCTTGGCAAACCTATCACTTTCATCAAGTTCATTGTTATCTGCAAAATGGAGGTATGAGAAGATCAGTTCAAATCTGTCCCTTCTAATTGCATCAGCTACAAGATGATGATGTGAGTCAGGAGAGGTTTCCCAAAACATCCTTCTCCTTGGATAGGAGATATACCCACTTAAAATCAAAATGCCCAAAACACACTTCAATTCCTGGGCTGTGAGACCCAGGTTGACACTCTTCTGCCAAGCATAACGATTGGTTTCATTAACAATGAAATTAATTGTTCCTTCATCAAAAAACAATTCAAAGAGGCCTACGGGACTTAGTTCCTGGCTTTTGAGGTCTTCAATGTGCGGATCTGATGCTGTCCAACTGCCAAACTCTGGTCGAATATCTCTCTTGGTCCAGACACGCTGAGGCTCCACTACTGCCTTCTGCCTCTTCTTGGCTGGCTGCAGCTCCAGGTCATCATTATCCTCCCCAGTGCCAGAGTCCTCAGACACAACGGACGCATGGAGCATACTGCCAGGCAGTTGAGCACCTCGCCGGCCATCTTCATCCCCAGAATCCTCATCTGTGAAGTCCCCTGCAGCATTGTCGGGAGGTGCAATGAAAATCTCCTCCCTGTTGTTGCCAGACTCTTCCTCCTCCAAAGCATTCAGAACCTCAAGCAGCTTAGTGGACTTCACCTTTGAGTGGGCACCTCTTCTAGCAGTGTCAACTCTGCAATGACAAAAGACAGTCAGGGAGGGGCTACTCTGGACAGGCAAAACTTCAGCTGGAAAGAGGAGCCCACTGGGAGGTACCTTAGATTAAACAGCCTCACAGATTTGGATCCACCAGGTACAACACCAGGTCGATAAACTTTCCAGAAAATAGAGATTACACCTTTAAGTGCAGAAGTATTTTAATTATGAGAGGCACTCTAAAGAGGCATTATGTAATCCCTTTCCCTCATAGTGTTCCAAGTAGAGGATCCCCTCTACTAATAAATCCAGGTACCAATGTCTTGACACCCCAGATACCAGTCGACTGCCAATTGGAAGTCCAGTTGGAGTGACACCCAGGCTGTCCCCTCAGATTTGGACTCAGTGGCCCCAGAAGCTCTGCTCTCATGTTTGACCTACCTATCTCTTCCCTGTGTCTGATTTATCTGACAAACAAGATTCCCTCACTTCCCAAATTCTCAAACTCTCCCTAGTTGAACTTCATTTCCCAAATTCAAGAACTGAACAGACTCAGATTTCCAAATGGCTCTCTCACTGATCATCTTGCTGCACGCTAACGGCAATTTAGGAGCTGAACAGATTTGGAAAACATGAAAACATCCCTGCCATTCAAACTCATCCTGTGGACATAGGTAACAAAAGAGATGACAAGAGTTCCTTATATTTAATGGCACTGGTCAGAGGCTCAGAGTAGGAAAACTCTACTTTCAAACTGCACTTAGTTCTAACTGGAGGAAACAAATAACAAGTAGCTACACAGGTAGCAACAAATGCCATCCTTGAATAAAGGACTGAGACCAGGGGTGCTATTTTAAATAGAAAAGAGAATGGGGCTGGGGGTGTGGCTCAAGTGGTAACATGCTTGCCTGGCATGCGCAGGGCGCTGGGTTCGATCCTCAGCACCACATAAAAATAAATAAAGATGTTGTGTCCACCGAAAACTGAAAAATAAATATTAAAAAATTATCTTTAACAAAAAAAGAGAATGAAGGCTCAGAAGCAAGAGACCTGAACAAGTGAGGGAGTTGTCCCTGCAGATCGCTAGAGACAGGATGTCTCAGGAAAAAAGAAAGAATGACAGGCACAAGGCCCTGAAGCTGAAGTTACAGTGAGGACAGAGCAGAAGCAGTGGGAACCAGGCCCCACAGGCTCAGGCCAGGACTTTTGGTGGTATTCAATTATCCCAGAAAACCCCAAGGGGGATGGAGCAGGACAGCAAAGAGTCACATCTAGGTTATAAAAGCCTCAACTGTGAGAACAGACTTGGTGGGAGGGTGGGCATGGATGCTCCTGTTGCCGCCCTGTGTCTCTCCAGGTCCCACACTGAGGACCCTCCACCCCAGAGGAAAGATGCAGCATTTACCATGGAGCCTATTTCCATGGAGACCTGCACATGAACTCTGGAGTCCAGGTTGCATTAGAGATTCACTCCAGTATCTCTTCCTATATGATGACTTCACCTCCTCCAAGCTGACTTCTAGAAAAGTAAGTTTTTCACCCATCTGAGCTTTGTGTGGACTAGGAAGACAGACCACCCTGAAGGGAGAGAAAACCAAAAGCCCTTCCTGTAGACCCTGGACTGAGACAAGTTTTGGGGGACGTGGCCATCTTCATGTCATCTCTACCCCAGCTTCACCCAGCTCCCAGGGGCAGATCCAGGCCTGCCAGGACGGGGCCTCTACCAGTCTCACTTGCTACCCGAGCTCCTGCTCACCCCCAGATCCTGTAGGTTCTGTACCCGACTCTTCCCTGTGGCCATGGGAAAGCAGGCAGAGACTAAGGCAGCCTCACGGGCAACCATCTGTGGTCTTTACCTTGAAAGATGAGGAAAGTAAAATTGTGTTTTATATCAAGCGTATGCGCTGCTGCCACACGCCCAGTTTGTACCATATATACTTCCTTGTCTGTCTCATCTCTTCTGTTCTTCTCCCTCTCTCTCCTCTCCTCCCTCATGCTTTCTAAACACCAACTGTTTAGTGAAGCTAGAAGGACTAAAGGCTAAAAGTGTCACTAGCTTGGCCTTTCAAAACAGAGAGGAGTAAATACTTTTAAAAGCATTTCATTCAACAGCACTCCTACCTTGAGGGTGAAGCCATGATGAACTGGGAAGGTGAGACTATCTTTATTCAGAGTCTAAGAACCTGTAAGACAATGAAGGTCATTTTTTTAAAAAATTACATCTTAATAAGCAAAGCAACAGGATCTCCCCTGGCCAAACTATCAAGAGAATCAAGGACATGATTAAGAGGGACTTCAGGACAGTGGTTACCTCTGAAGAGAAACGATGAAATTATCGCAGACACTTGGAGGTATCTAAAATTTTGGTAGGGTTCTATTTCTTAAACTGAGTAGGATATTCAGACTTGCTTATTAATCTTTACTTTGTTCTTGTCCCATGCTTTGGTATGTACCATTCCATACACAAACACGAACAGGCACGGGGACCCTGGCAAAGAAACACAAACTATCTGGCAAAGCCACTCAGTGCCCCACAGGAGGAGTACTGCTCTGTAGAGATGAAGGACTGGCAGGCAGACGTCCATCTGTGGTATTCCAGAGCACACACATCTTGCACAGCTAGAAGGAAGAAAAAATGAACAGTTACCTGTGTCCTTTATGAAGAATGTCCTTATCGAAGCCTTCTGAAATTGTTTACCCAAACTCTCTCAAAGGCCATCAGCCTACATCCTGGCCTCACACGATGCCCCTGACTGCTACCTCTGGTCCACTTGACATCACTCTTAAATTCCTTTAAGACTTATGAGAAAAGCTCATTATCAGACTAGACCTTATGTTCCAGGAATCACAGCCACTAGTCCCCACAGGCCCTCAGTGAATCTGGGTATGTGACCACAATGTCTACAAAGCTCCAGTCTCTTCTGTTCTCACTTTCTTTGGCACCAATGATGGCTGGCAAGAGAGACATGCAGGTAAATGCCATGTGTGTGAGAAAGTCTTGATCCTTCAAATTCCCCCACCCTGTCTACTCCCAAGCCTGAAGCCTGGTAAGAATGTGGAATATGGAACCATCAGAGATAAAGCTGTGCAACCTTGCCAAGTCATTTACCTTCTCTGTGCCCTTATCTCCTCACCCATGAAATGGTCACCTACTGTCATTCCCTTGTGAAAATGCGCATGAATGTGTATAAAGTACACACAAAAGACATGGCTTCACAGAGTATTAGCAACGGGTTAAGAACCACAACACCCCTTGCAATTAAAATAGTCAAAAATTCTGAAAACTAAACATTTTCAAAAGTTTGCCACAAACTGTTGCAGCAAACCTGAATTGATCTGAGGTTCTCTATAATCTGTATTTCCTTAACCAATTATAACTATCAACACATTTTGGTACAGAAATACCCTACATGATTAAGAGGTGCTTTGGTACAAGTCTGATAAAAGTCAAACACTATGACCTTTTCCCCCAAGTTCAGCCAGGTTTGGGGCAGGAAATGTGACCTGTTACCATTTCACAGTAGCTCTGCCTCTCGGCAGCTCATCACCTCTTCCTCTGCCATGCCCTCGGCTGGCCTCATTCACTCACTAACATCTACACCCAGGGCTCCAATTTCCCCAGGTCACAATCAAATCAGGCTCTACAATAAGATCAAGGACACTCACAGCCGCCACCTCAGCTTAGATGACCCTGAATACCTTTCTCCATCCACCAAGCTTTCAGTAAAGGATTCTTCTATCACAGTTTTTATCACAATATGACTAAAATGACCCATCTGAGAATTAAGCCCATCTCTGGATCCTCAGAAGTCAATATGGCTTCTGGCATGCAATAGGCCCCAATAAACAAACTACTAGTGCCCCGGAAATAACAGTCACACTCCAGGGCACCCCAGCAGCATCCTGCTGTAGGCCTTCATCTTTATCTTCATCTTCACTTTCTGGCTTTGAGATAGCTATTTAGGAAATAGCTAACCAAAGCATACTTCTTAAAGATTCTCTGAAACCATACACAGGAAATGTCCATCAGTGGAGAGTCTAATACAGTGGACACAGCTGGCTGGGAGAGGGACAGCTAGGCAGGAAACCCATCTCCCTTTCTGTGCTCCTCAGACCACACTTCCTCATTTTCACTTTTAGTGGTTCTCAAATTGCTCCCTAGCCCTCCATCTCCTCATGTGAACCCCTCCATCCCTTTTGCTCTGCCTGAGAGAACTGACAAAGGACAGTGTACCCACAGATTAAGCAAACTCCAAAAGGGAATAATGTCCAGATAGAAGCTATTGGGCACCCATATTAGGTACCCCCACCTCTCCCTCATCCAAGCACATAAAGTATCTACTAGGTGCCAGGCACACATGTACAAAACTGAAACTGCAGCTAGGGCAGGGTTACCAAGGAGACGGGGTGGGGGAGATTAGGATGCATAAAACAAAAACTGGAACAAGTCAAGGAAATGAAAGAACACTTTCCCAGGGAAAGGATGACTGGCCGGAGAGCTACACAAAGAGTAAGAATTCCCTGAGTAGGCAAGAAACAGGATCCCAGGCAAAGGGAGCAGAACATGAAGGGAAAGAAATGCCAGTCTGAAAAGAGTAGGGAAATCTGAGTGAAAGCGTCCAAGGAAAGGCTGAACCTGTCCTTTTAAGGCCTTTTTTTTTTTTTATAAAATTACAGACAGAATACAAAACCATCACATTTGCATTTTTAACAAGCTTATTCTAACTGCTGTGTATACAACTGAGTGGTGCTTATCAAGAAAAGAACCTGCCCAAGTGGGATTTAAAAAGTAACAATAAATATAGATCACTGTTTAAGAGGCAAGGGAGACAGGCTGGTCAGAGTCACCTACTGGAGTTCAGGTCTATATGGCTGSAACACAGAGGTGCAATTCATGGAGGCTGGGAGCTCTAGAAGGCAGCCAGATGTGGTGAGCACATCTGAGACAGAAATGTTTGGGGCATTACTCAGAATGGCATCCAGCAGACCACAAACTCTGTGGGCCTGGGACCAAGAAACAGCCTGGCCTGGAGTCATAAATTGGTGCATTTTCTGAGGATTTGTGGAAAGCTCAAAATCTTAAGAGGTTACCAGGGAAGGAAACGCAGACTGAAGGAAATGACTGCCAAGGAAGAAGTCTTTAGAAACTATCTGAGGGAAGGAGGGAAGGAGGAATGGAGGAGCCTGTAAATCTTGTAAAGGGCAAGAAGCTAGCCTGAGAGGCAGCCACAGGCAGAGACTACATAGTGGAGCAAAGGGTGGTTACCTGCGCCAAAACTGCCCAGAGGACTAGGTGGACCTTTTCAACTGGACTGACCACCCAGCAAAGATAAAAGAACCTTGATTTTAAACTTGGAGCTGCCAGAACCACTCTGAAGGGTCTTGGGGAGAAGAGGGGTGGGCTCTACTATTGAAAATGTTAATTTCTCCCAGAAGACAAGATAATTAAATGCAAGTAAATGCTGGCTTGGATGTTATAGGATATGGTTCTGCTGTTGTTGTTGTTCTTTCTGTTAAAAAGATGCTCACAAGTGGGATATCTGGGTGAACCTATGTGGGAATTCTTTTGTACTACCTTTGCAACTTTTTGGAATTCTGAAAATATTTCAAGACGAAAGTCTTTTTTAAAGATATTTTATAAATATAAATGACTCAAAGCTAAGCCAGGTGCAAAACAGCTCAGGAGGGGCCTTTTTGAGACAAGAGCACCYCTCTCTGTCCCTATCTCAGTATCAAAAGAGAAACAGCAAGAAGAGGAAACAAAGACTCTGAAACCTCAGGGATCCCACAGAAAAGCAGACACAAATCAATTCCAAAACGCCCCGCCCCTGCACGTCTGCGCGCTGAGCTGCTGGCCCCTGAAGCGCACCCCTCCCAAACCCCCTTAGCCTGCCCCAGACCAGTCCAACCCGCCTATAACGCAACCCTCTTCAGTTCAGCCCGGCCTACTCTCCATTCTCGGAATCAGGCCCGCCCAGGTCCCGCAAACATTCCATCCCACCCTAATCAGCCTCAGTCACACCCACCCCACTACCCTGCAAGCTCAGCCGACCCCGCCGGCTTGCAGCCACAGCGCCCCCTTGCGACCCTCAGAGCTCACAGCCTGGAGGCCTATTGTTCCCGTCTGGTTTGTTCCCTACTCCTGGTTCTCCGCGCCTAGCAGTAAGGCTGACTGCACTGTTGAGAAAATGCAACATCAGGTCCCGCTACTCCTGCATAAAAACCGGGCGTGCAAGCGGGTAACGCCTACCTGGGCTGGCCAGACCTGAGCCTCGCCTGAATGTACTGGACGCCCTGAGGAAAGCACAGCAAGACCTCTGAGCCAGCCTTGGCATTGGGTGTCGCGGCCGCGCAACGTCCGGCACTAGAGTGCTCGGGCGCTCAGCCCGCTTTACTCGCCACGCCCCCGGGAAGGCCACGCCCCCGCCCGAGCAATCATAGAGATGGCAGAACCTCCGAGGCGCCTAGAGAGAACCTGAAAGTGCCTCCAAAACCGAGTGGCCAGGATCACAATATTCACCTCAGAGGGTTAGATCCTCCCGCAACTTTCACCTGGTTTCTCCTCGGTTCTCACCTAGAAACTTGCGCAGCTTCTACTCGGGGTGGGGGCCTCCATGACCTCTTTCTTTCTAGGGCAGTAGTTCTTACTTATGGCCCAAAACTAAAAATAGTAAAACCTCCCGGAATCGGAAACTGTGGGCGGGCCCCAATAATCTGTGCCTTCCAAGCCCCGAAGGTGACCCTAATGCAAATAGGGTTTGGATACCACTGATCTTGGGTTTATCATCCTCCACAGTCTTTAACATTTTTACCTGGCTAGGTCTTTATTGTAGGGGCTGGCCTGGGCATTGTGGGTATGATTTCAGAAAACCAGGAGTCCCTGTTTCCTCTGAAGAGCCTGTTAGTACCTGTATTTTTACTTATTAAAATCATAACCTTCATTGTAGGAAGTTGAGCATCCCTGGCTTCTACCTACTAAATTCCAGTAGCATGCTACACTCCCAAGACTCCAGTTATAACAACTAAAAAATCTCCAGTGTCCCCAGAAAGGCCAAATCTCTCATTGCACTGAAACATGGCAGCCAGTTAGGTGTGTAGAATTTCAGAGAAAACAGTTCCTTGACCGGGAAAGCTTTGTCTAAACACAAAAATCCCAAACAGGGCCCAAAATCCATTAACATCCAAAAAGAGGGCCAGTAGTGAAGGTTTTGTTGTTGCGTTTCCAACCACTATTTAACCTAGGTGGTTTTTTTGTTTGTTTGTTTGTTTTTGGTTGTTGTAAAGTGTGGTTCCAAAACACCTGAGTCAGAAAAAAAAAAATGTGTGTGTGTGTGTGTGTGTGTGTGTGTGTGTGTGTATCATGGTCATTTGGGGCACATCCAAGTTTGTCATTGTTCAGTTCACACATAAGCAAATTAAAAGGATAGAGGCTGAGCCTTGGGAAGGTGTGGGTACTATTTTAGGCAAGGTGGTGCAGTTTTTTCCATCTTGCTTTCTTTCCCAGAACCTTTGCCTTATTTACTCATTCACTTTTTTATTCAAGAAGAGTTTAAGGAGTGTCMATTCTGTAGCAGTCACTGCTCTGGGCACTGCTGCTAATACATTGAGGAAGAAAAGGGCAAAAAAGAAGGCGGCAGGGAAGGGGAAGAGAAAAACCCTGCTATCATCGTGATGCTTAAATTCCAGGGTGGGGATGGGGGGACAGACAATAAATAAACAAGTAAAACATACTGGTATGTGAAAGTGGAAATTGCTATGGAGAGAAAGTAGGTGAGGAGTATATAGAGAAGAGTGGGAGAAGACTGTAGTGAATCCAGTTTTGAATAGTTTGTTCAGGGAAGACCTCAGTGATAAGGTATATTTGAGGGAAAGTCAAAAGATGAAGAGCAATGTATGAGGAATTCAAGAGGAAAAATACTTGAAGCAGAGTGGATGGCACGACCAACGGCTCTGAAGTAGGAGCAAGCCTAGCCCAGCTGTGAGGATCACCATGGCTGAATCTGATAAAATTGTGTTAGTAAGAAATAAGCTAGGCTTTAAAGAAAAAAATTGGAATAATTATTTAAATTAAGTGTATTATGCTGTGCATAAACTTTATAAAAAGACTTGGTATAGCTTGTTTATACTAGCTTGCTTTAGGAGATTGACACATTTTTTTAGAATACTTATAAAAGTGCAACTAGAGGATGGGTGTGGTGATACTTGTCTGTAATCCCAGCTAACCAGGAGGCTGAGACAGGAAGATCACAAGTTTAAAGCCAACCTGGGCAATTTAGCAAGACTGTCTCAAAATAAGAAATAAAAAGGGCTGGGGATGTAACTCAGTGGTAAGCTGTGCTGGTCTATATATAAAAGTCTCGCGTCCATCAGGCAGTGACTAAATATCACCTATAGTTGAGATGTTGATGAATAATATTCAATTAAATTTCAGTCACTAGTTATTTGATTGCATCAAGGCCTTTGATGCCTATAACAAAACCATAACCTACCCAACAATTAAAAATGCCATATGTGTGACACCACAGTCATGGGCAAAAACTGGGAGTTCTACAGCCCATAACATGTGGTGTTCTTACCTTTAAGTGATGACATGAGGAAGATGCTGTCTCCAGCTGCTATGTTCTGTGGTTTTGGTGATGGTGGTGGGGTTGCTATTGTGGGTTTGGTTCATTTTATTTGTGGTGCTGGGCATAGAACCCAGTGCCTCACATACGCTAGGCAAGCACTATATTACTGAGCTACTGAGCTGCACACCCAACCCCTCTAGCTGTTGTTAACAATAGACAAGAAGTCCAAGACAGATGCAGGGAGAGGAGGAGGGAAACTGAAGAGTCTACAGGCATGTCAAGGCAGGGATAAAGGTGAGTGGAACCAGGGGTAGCAGAGGTAGCGCTGAAAAGTGGTGAGATTTGAGCTCTAATTTAGAGCTGAAAGGATTTACAGATGTGAGTACAAGACACAATCCAGAATGGCCTCTATGTTTTGGCTTGAGCAAATGGAACTGTGGTGGTGCTGTCAGCTAAGACAGGGAAGATGCTATCCAGAGAGACCAAGCCAGGAGTGAAAAGAGATCAGAATTTCAGTTGACATATTTCATATGAAATGCCTATTAGACAAGCCATTGAACCTATCCAGGTTTAGGGAGGAGTTCCAAGCTAAAAAGATGCATTGAAATCAGCAAAGTATAGATAATATTTACAGCAGGAGGCCCAGGTGAAAGCTCCCAGACATGAGGGTGAGTGGGTTGGAGAGCAGGGTTGGAGGTGAGCCCTTCTACAGCCACCCTGCCCGCCCCACCAATATGGATGAGTTTGGTCATACCTTGGGGCTGGATTCCTGCCTGTGCATTCAGTCCAGACTTCAACTACCAGTCTGGAAGAGGACAGGGTACCAGGCTTCCAGATGTGGTCTGGGAGCTAAGGCAATTCTGACAAATCTCAACGAAGAAGTATAGAGTTATGTTTGAATAAAGAAATGGGCTTTCTCTAGAATTTAGGAAATGCAGCCTGAGTATCCTCTTGGCTTCTATTAGAGAGGCCCACGTTCAGGGTTCTATTTTATTGAAGATAAATGATCTGGACTGGAGCTAGAGCTTGGTGATAGAGATGTGAGGCCTTGCATTCAATGTTGAGTAACTGAAAAAGGAAGGAAGGAAATGTTCAAGGAGCAACTTAGTGGTGATCGTTGGTTTGAGAGCAATTCAGTGTGTTTTAGGAAGGGTTCAACCAAAAGTTCTGTTTTACCTTCTGTAACAGAAACTCCAACTAAATACTAAGTGAAACAAGCCTGACACAGAAAAACAAATACATTCTGAGCTCACTTATATGTAGAATCTAAAAATGATGATTGCCAGAGGCTGCAAGGGAGGAGAAAGAGTTGGCAGATGAGTTTATCAAAAAGTACAAAGTTTCAGTGAGACAAGATAATAGAGATCTATTGTACAGCATGGACTACACTTAATGATAATATATTATATATTGAAAAGAGAGTATCTTAGTTTTGTTGTTGTTGTTGTTGTTGTTGTCGTTGTTGTTTTCTGCCCACAATACTACATGCTGGGTAAGCAATAGAGAAAAGGTTTATTTTGGGTTCATAGTCCTGATCCAAGGTTCAAGGGCCTCATCTGATTATAGCCTTCATGTTGACAAAATCCAGAGGCAGCAACACAAAATGGTGAGAGTCAGACAATAGGCCTAGCCAAAATGGCTTTGGACCCACTCTTGAGTGGACCCAAACTTGAAATAACCCATTAACCTGTTCATCCATTAATTGAATGAATTGTTAAATTCATTATTTGGGACACAGTTCTAATCTCTTAAAGATTCCACTTGGTCTCATCTTTTAATAAATAATGATGGGGATTAAATTTCAGTATGAGTTTCAAAGGGGAAAACCATATTCAAACCATAGCAGAACTTAAATAAAATGAACTGAAATGTTCTCACTACAAAAAACACTGATAAATGTTCGAGGTGATGGACATGTTAATTTGATTGATTTAGTCACTTCACAATGTGTGTGTGTGTGTGTGTGTGTGTATATATATATATATATATATATATCACAATGTTATATATATCAAATATATGGTATAAATATGTACAATTTTGTTAATCATACTTCAATAAAGCTTAAAAATGAGTCAGGTATATACAAGTAGACAATAGAATGGTCGTTACTAGGGTGGGAGGAGGATGACATGTGTAGAGTTGATAAGTGGATATAAAATTATAGTTATAAATGACAAATAGGTTCCATTTTGATGTTATGAAACATAGTGACTATAATTAATAATAAGGTATTGCACACTTAAACATTTGTTAAGAGGATCAATCTCATATTAAGTGTTCTTACCATCAAAAACAAACAAACAAAAGGAACACCAGGAAATTTTTGCAGGTGATGAAACAATTTATCACCTTGATCATGGTGATGGTAACACAGTTGTACATATACATCCAAACTCATCAAAGCATATACTTTAATATTAGGCAGTTTTAAAATTTCAAGTATACCTGTTTTAGTCAGCTTTTTTGCTTCTGTACTAAAGTATCTGCAGAAAAATTTTAGGAGAGGAAAAGTTTATTTGGGGGCTCATAGTTTCAGAGGTCTCAATCTATAGACAACAGACTGCATTCCTCAGGGCTCAAGATGAGGCAGGACATCATGGCTGAAGAGTGTAGCAGAGGGAATCAGCTCACATGATGATCAGAAAGCAGAGAGAGAGGTCTCCACTTGCCAGAAACAAATATATACCCCAAAGCCACACCCCACCACTTCGGTTACCACTCAGTTAATCCCTATCAG